TGAGTTATTCTCTGTACAAGGATAAATGCAGTGATGGAATAATTTACTTCCGTTATCTACTTTCCGGACCTCATCCTGGCTGCACGTTTCCTCACTATCACACGAAGATGCTGATATATTGTGAGTCTTCAGTTGACATACTACTTTTAGAAGGTAAATGGTAATGTGAAGATATAAATACTTTTCATAAATGCCGTGCCATCTATTCTTTGAACTGAGAATAGCGACTTGTACATATGGCTTTAAGCTTTCCCGGTTTTATATGATCCCTTCTAAAGAGTCCACAGTAAAATAGAAAGATTTCTTCTTGTTGTTTGTTCCGAGATTAAGGATATCAGGTCCTTCATTTTGTTTAAATTTTCTAGTCTTAGCAAGCGTCGTGCTCGCTTCAGCGGTAGACACTATGCAATAAAGATAGTAAATCAGCTTTAAAGTAAAAGTAAGTTTTCACTGCAGTGACTACATTTTATAATTTAGTTTATTGATTCCCGCACTTTGTTATAAATTATCTTAATTACAGCATGCGTCATCCTCAGTTCAAAGAGTAAACGTTATGACAGAAACATTTGACAACTTGTCGTTGTCTACTGTTTGAATTGAAGATGGTGACTCCTGTATTTCGTCTCACGTCGCCCTTCAACAGGTTTCAGGTAGTCTCCATCCACAGTTCAGACGTACACGGTATTCGACGTAATATTACTGTTATGCCATTCTTACTGGCGTAAAAATGACGCCGGATAGGATTTCCCCGAATCTTTTCATTAGGAGATAGTGAGCGAGGTACGGGGGGGGGACACTGACGTAGTGGATAAGTTGTTCGTTTTGCGCTTTAAAATTGCTGAGTTCAAATGGCTGCGCAGCATGTAGCTTTTCTTACTGGCTGCTAATCCCATTGCTGTCTGATGCGTGAGTTTGCGGCTGAACTTCATGTGTTGTTGTTTATGTCTTTTCTGAGGTATCAGCTTCAAAGGCCAAGTGCCTAGTTCAAACGATATCTGTCCGTTTGGCTTCTCAGAATGATTGAGGCGATGTTGGGTGCCGTGGCAATGATCATATTTCTCGTCGCAAATAGGTTCGCCTCTAGAAGCTGTTTTATAGTGCGACGTTGAACTCTGACACCTGTGCAGTTATTTTTTGCTTCACGGAGGAGAATCGTATTCGATAGGTCTTCATTCACTCCACCGATGATTCTGTAAAACCACGACAGACGCCTGTCCCTGATTTCTTCAGACAGTATTCTCAGGACTTCATTTGCCCTCACCTGAGAGCTGATTAAAAATCATCCTGGAGTGTGAACAATAAATTTTTGTTTAAGCCCATGATTTTCTTCAGTGTCCTGAACTCACTGCCTCTGAGGAATAAGCACATATGTTACTCTTGGTTATTTTGCCATGTCATGACCGTTTTATGTTCCGGTGCTGCTCTCCACGTCTTCCATGGCGCCTCGGAAACTACCATCCGATATGTTTCGCTTTTTTTCCTGCTTGGTACTGTATTGCATCATAGTGGTGGGTTGGATTTTTTAAAAGTGTACAACAGTACGGTTTTTAGCCTTATTTTTATGTTCAAAGAATATACGATTTTCAGCAGTCAGCAAGCAGCTTCATTAAAAGAACAGGAGACGTTTTTGTTTTAATTCCGTGTTTACACGCCTTAAGGTACCGTTCCTTTGCTTCTAGCGGCTTAGAGTACCATTTAAACGTCTGTAGTGCTTATGACTACCATAATGCTTCTAAATACTGAAAGCAGAACTTGATAGCAGGCAGCCGCCAGGATGATCTCTAATAATTTTTTCGTATCTCATCAGACCGATATAACATCGAAATGACTGAATAGCGAGCGCGCATTTATTCGATATAGGTGGAATGCTTGTACAGTAACCAGCTTCGTTTTCGATGCAGTGGAATGAGAATAGCATGGCTTTATCCTCCAGTAGAAAAACTCAGGCTGCTGAGCATGAAACCTATATTCTAGACAGCAGCTGAATCAGTACAGATAGCTTCAGCGGTCGTCGATCTGCCTCCTGATGCGGCTAATAAGAGTCAATTTAAGGATGTTGCTATTAGCATAAGCGCTTCCGTTCCTCTGGGATTAAACAGGCATATGAAACGTATATACACAGAGCCTTGATGGCTGATCAGAGTTGCTGTTGCAGCCGTGGCTCTTTCAGAGTGTTTCAAATGAAAGG